ACGAGATATTATTACTATACCTGGAATTTTTGCCAAAGCAGGTATGATAACTAAATATAAGATAGCTACGCGAAACCGGGAACGGCACTATTAGGCATGTGTTGTATAGGTAGAGATGGGCAGCGTAGGATTTTTAATATGATCTAAAAATAAGATTATTTGGCCGGTGTTACAGGCTATTTTGTACTAAATAACCAACAATTCGATAATTAGTTCTTTTATTATAACTTTGTTTAATATACTCTGTAATTTATTAGGCTTCTCACCAGGGGCGTGACGTTGGTGATTACGATTAACAATTCTATTTACTTATAGACTTCTTGTGCACTATAACTGACTTTGACCACAACACTTTAGGTCAATACTTTACTCGAACCATGGTACGTTGGGTTCTGGACTAGACTGCAGTAAGTCGGGTCAGTCAACTAGCTCAGTAAAACGTCGAGCTGTGCTAAGTTAAGTTTAGTACATCGAACCTAACTTCTGTATTTTTGTCAAGTTATATTTTGCATCAAAATTTATTGATTTTTATTATACTACTTACTAGTGATGGTTATTATAACACGATACAATATGGTATATTATAGTAATCCAAAAACACACTCCTTTTTTTATTAAGAGAAGTAAGTCCTCTTTTTATAACAATGGAGATTTTGAGGCTAAGGGTTTTTTTCCTAAGGGGGTCTCTAATCTTTTTCTTACATGACCTCTCCTTTATTCTTTCTGATGATACTTCTTACAATCATTTTCTTGTCATTGCTTCCACGCCATTTCCTAGGCTTAAACCTAATAACTAGTATTATGTTGATAGACATGTAGGTATACCTATTTATGGTAATTTTCTTATTTATACTACTCGTGTTCTAAAAACCTAACATCGCTATATTTTAGAGCGTTCTTGGCACAGTTCTGACCTTATTTCCAGGACAACCAATTTTCACCGTAACATTCTCCCACACTTATTTTAGGTGTATCATACATAAAAAAAAATTTTTTAAATACATATCTTCACGTGGTTGTTAATATAGTTTACTTCTGTGTTAGTCTTCTCAGACATAGTACCTTTTCAAAAATTTCCGATTTATGGGTGTTTTTATTATATTTCTATCAAGAGTACGAAGTTTAAACACACTCTTTGTTTGAACCTTATGAATAACAAATGGTCCTTTTTACTTAGGGCTGAGTTTATGACTTTTTGAGTTTTCTTGAGAAGCCTTAAAGACCAAAATGAGCTCTCCTCTCTTTAGGTCTTCGATTTTTAAGGCCTGTTGAGTATATCTTTTCTTAGCCTTCTGTTGGGCTTTTTCTACTCGGATAACTGCCGCAGCCCTTTCATTAGGTACTACTTCAATCAAGTCAAAGAGTCATTGCAGGAAGGTACCTTCTAATAAATCTTCTGACTCGCTAGAGTGTATTGGGAGGTGTGCCTCTCTCCTGTAAACTAGATAGAATGGTGTCATCCTTGTGGTATTTTGTTTAGCATTCGATAGGCAAAAAGAACTGACGAAATTATTAGGTCTCAATCCCGAACGTTAGTTATGAGTTTAGCTATAGATTTACAAAGGGTTTTGTTGAATCTTTCGACTAACCCATTCGTTTGTGGATGGTAGGGAGTTGAATAGTGATGTTTAACCTTAAATCTTTTCAGAAATTTGTCCATTAGGTTATTCCTAAAATGAGTCCCCCTATCTGATAGTTGATATTGAGGGCAACCATGCCGGCATACTATGTCTTCGTATATGAAGTCTGCTACTTTGTTTGCATTAGCTGCTTCTATAGCCTTAGCTTTAGGCTATTTAGTCATGTAGTCTGTTGCTACAACTATCTACTTATTCCCTTGTGGAGTCTGTAGTAAGGGTCCCACAATATCAATTCCCATCTTATAGAATAAGGCTTCGACAGATATAGGATGTAACGGGGTTTTACTAAGTTTTTACATCTTCTTTGACACACATCACAGGTGTGTACATATTTTCTTATATCTGCGTACATCTGAGGCCAATAATACTTATTGCGTAATTTATTAAATATAATTTCTTTTCCGAAGTGACCTCCAAGTGGATGTGAATGTATTAGGAATAGAATCAGTTCAATTTCATGTTTTTGGATCACACATAGTAGGCTGTTGTTCTTATGTTTATTTTTCTTGTAGATTAGCCCTTTGTTTACTACAAAGAATTTACTTTGGGACTATAGACTACGGCGTTGTTGTGGAGATAAGGTTGTCACTAACTTATGTTCAGTTATATAGGTCTTTAGTTCTTAGTATCTTTGTGGCTTCATTGTTTTAATTTTGCCAAGGCACCGACTACCTAGTCTGAATTGAGTTTTCTGTCAGATTGTATAAAAAAAAATTTTTTTTTTTTTTTTGACTATATTTTTTTTGTTTTAGGTAATGGCATATGGAATAGGACATCCATATTGGAGTATTTACGACCAGGTCTATGTACTATTGTATAATTATAGAGTTGTAGTCTTAGAATCCAATGTGCTCTTTTTCCTTTTAATTTGGATGTGTTTAACCATTTAAGAGTGGCATGGTCTGTGACTAGGATGAAATGTTTGGCTTTTAAATAATGATGAAAATGTTCTACAGCCCAGATCACTGCGAAATATTCAAGTTTTGGAGCTGAATAATTTCTTTCAAGTCTTCTTAATCCTCTACTTGCATATGCTACCACATACTCATTATGATTTTCATCTTTTTGTGCTAACACTGCTTCTAACCTGATGCCGGAAGCGTCCATGTGTAGGTAAAAGGTCTCTTTAAATTCTGAATATCTTAGAATTGGGGCCATCATTAGGTGTCTTTTTAAAATTTCGAAGACTTGTTGTCTTTCACTAGTCCATTCATAAAACGTATCTTTTTCTAACAGTTTATATAGTGGATGCGCTATTTTTGCAAAAGTTTTGAATAAAACATCTATAGTATGAAACTAACCCTATGAACCCTCATAATTGACAAAGATTCCATGATACTGGGAAATTCTTGACTTTTTCAATTTTAGTTTTATCTGGCCTTACCCCTTCTTTATTAATTATATGTCCTAGGTAGTGTATACTCGATTTAAATAGATTGCATTTGTCAATGTTCAACTTTAGTCCCATGCTCTGTAATTTGTTAAAAATAAGTTGGAGGTGTTCTAAGTGATCCTCGAACGTTTAGGAGTATATGTTTATGTTGTCTAAATAAACAACTGTGAATTTTCCTAGATATTCTCGTAAGATAGTATCCATTAGCCTTTGGAACATTCCTGGCATGTTACAGAGACCAAATGGCATTATGTTAAATTCATAGAGGCCATATTTAGTGATGAAAGTGGTTTTTTCTTTATCCTTTTCATTTACCCCTACTTGCCAGTACCCACTTATTAAAACTAAGGTAGAAAACCATACTGCATTTCCAAAGGTATCAAGAAGGTCTGTTATGTGGGGTAAAGGATATGAATCTCTTTTTGTTACCGTATTTAACTTATGGTAATCTATGCAAAATCATAGCTTGCCGCCTTTTTTTGGTACTATAACTACTGATGAAGCCCAAGAACTATATGATTTTCTTATTAAATTTTTCTTTTTTAGTCTAATAATCTCAGATTTTACAAACTTATTCTCATCATGAGATATCCTATATGGTCTTTGTTTCATTGCTATTGCCTCCCCTTTGTTTATAGTATGCATAATAACACTTGTTTTTCCTAGCTCGTCTATGTTTTTAGCAAACAACGTTTTCTCCTTTATCAGGAATTCTTTTGCTTGACGTTGTTGCTCAGGGGTCATTAAGTTGACGTTTATGAATTCTTGTATTCTTTCTACTATCGACTTTTCTTCTTTTTCTTTAACGGGGGGTTCCTTTATATTGATAAGGAATAGTGCTGGGTTTTCTTCACTTTCTATTCCTTGAGCTAATACTTGGTTATCTACTTCTGACCATTCATCCATAAAATACTCATCTATCTCTTCTAGGTTATCCTCTTCATAGTCAAATTCATCAAATGTATCACCCTCATCACTATCATATTCCTATTTTTCATAACTTGGTGTAAGTGTTTTGATACCTGTATTAGAGATTGGGATTTCTACTGATTTTTCATTATTCGATATGTGTAATTTTTGACTATCGAAATATAGTCGGGCGTTGGCTTTTCGGAACCAATTGGTTCTTAATAATAAGGTTTCTTCTGGGGATTCTATTATTTGTAGGGCAATTGGTACTATCATGTCTGGATAGTTATTTCAACATCCTTTACCCTACCCAGAGTTTTTGCATGTGCACCTGTTGCCATTATTACCATAGTTATCGCCTTATCATTAATTTCTAACTCTAATTTATATTGTAATTTACTGGACATAATGCTAACGACTGCACCTGAGTCTAGGACTGCTATTACTGGATTATCATAGATTCTTACGTTGCATCGGGCTGCTGTGGTCCTTTGTGTTGTCACTGAATTTATGAAGTTTGCCTCATGTGGTGTTAGTGGTCGTCTTAATATGCCAGCTAAGTTTTTTCTTTGGTTTGGGTATTGTAGTAATTGTCCTAAGGTTGCACTTGCTGAAAATGATAATATGTCATTTGTGACATTATATGGTTTGATATTATCTATCACTGAGGGTCCCCTTTTTCTTTTTGGCTTGTTTATACCAATGGGGTTTTCTATTTCTTGATCTTCTTTTTCTTGTTGAGTATTAGGTAATTTTTTTTCTCTCAACCTTGTATTCCAATCTGGCTTATTAGGATGTTTTATTATCTTTTGCGGCACTAGCTCGTTACTTATTATAAATATCTCTTCGTTTACTTCACAATAGTTTACGATTTTTGGCCTTTTGTCTGGCCTTTTTGTATCATTTTGGTTTTCAACTGAGTGTTTGAATTTTTCAGATCGACAGAACCTAGATATATGTCCTAATTCGCCACATCTATAGCATCTTTGGTCTTTCTTTTGGTCTGGCCAGATATTTCTTTTTTTGTAATTGTCTCTTCCTTGAATTAATTTTCCCACCAAAGTGACATAATTTACGGCTATCTCATTGATCTTTCTTTTCAGATCATTTATTTTACCACTTAATTTTTGAGGTTGGTTTCTTTCTGACTGTTGGCTATAGTAATCACCAGCTTCTACTCATCTAGCTGCTGCTATTGCTTCATTCAGATTCTTTGGTGCTGTTATGACTACAAAGGTAGCATTTTTACCCTTTAGCCTGCTCAAAAACATTCTTACTACATATGCATCAGGGAGGCAGTTGTTTGTGTTTATTCTACTAAGTAGTCTTTTAAACTTAGTGGCATAGGTATCGACCTTTTCTGAGTCTTTTTGGGTTAAGGTATTAAGCTCTATTTGCCAGCAATGTTGTCTTTCAGGTGGGGCGAAGTATTCAATTAATAGATGGTAAAAACTATAATTCCTTTTATTCTTATCTTTGATATTCCAATACTTAATCTTCTCTTTATTTTCTTTATACCAATCAGCTGCCATTTCTCGTAGGTATCCCGATGCAATTTTCAACCTATGATCTTCAACCCAATTGTTGGCTTCAGATGCTCTCTCAAACTCATCGAACCATTCGATTGGATCTTTGTCATCAGTGTCTTAGAAACTTTTAATCTTCACATGATTACTTTTTCTTGGTCCTGACTTTTCCTTGGAGGTGTTAGTGAAAGAATTAACAAGCAATTCCATCATTTCTTTAAACTGTTCAGTTTTCATTCTTGATTCGTTATGAATAGGGAGTATGTTAATTTATATATGTTAGATCTCATAGTCACCACCAAATGTTACAGGCTATTTTGTACTAAATAACCAACAATTCGATAATTAGTACTTTTATTATAACTTTGTTTAATATACTCTGTAATTTATTAGGCTTCTTGCCAGGGGCATGATGTTAGTGATTATGACTAACAATTCTATTTACTTATAGACTTCTTGTGCACTATAACTGACTTTTACCACAACACTTTAGGTTAATACTTTACTCGAACCATGGTACATCAGGTTCTGGACTAGACTGCAGTAAGTCAGGTCAGTCAACTAGCTCAGTTAAATGTCAAGCTGTGCTAAGTTAAGTTCAGTACGTCGAACCTAACTTCTGTATTTTTGTCGAGTTATATTTTGCACCAAAATTTATTGATTTTTATTATACTACTTACTAGTGACGGTAATTATAACACGATACAATATAGTATATTATAATAATCCAAAAACACTCTTCTTTGTTTATTAAGGGAAGTAAGTCCTCTTTTTATAACAATGGAGATTTTGAGGCTAAGGGTTTTTTTTCTAAGGGGGTCTCTAATCTTTTTCTTACACGACCCCTCCTTTATTCTTTCTGACGATACTTCTTACAATCATTTTCTCGTCATTGCTTCTGCGTCATTTCCTAGGCTTAAACCTAATAACCGGTATTATGTTGATAGACACGTAGGTATACCTATTTATGGTAATTTCCTTATTTATACTACTCGTGTCCTAAAAACCTAACATCGCTATATTTTAGGGCGTTCTTGGCGCAGTTCCGACCTTATTTCCGGGACAACCAATTTTCCCCGTAACACCGGCATTACTATAACATTTGGCCAGTATTAATATAATATATAGACTGATTAACATATTCAGCTAATTCCTAATTAGAATTTGTTTATTTATTTGCATACCATTTCACACACACATATATATATGCCTTCTTTACCGTTGGTATCTTTTGCTTACGTACCAAAAATTTGAAAATTTTTCTTTAAGTCACTCTTTTTAAAAATAACTATAACATGCGTGGTAATAATGATATTTGGAATTATCTTACAAAAATTGGACCAGATGAAAGCTTTAACCAAGGAAGTAATCAATGTAATTACTGCGATTAAACCTTGCAA